CACGCCGTTGCCACGGCAACGGGCGGCCATGACGCCCCGCGGGCGTTGCCATGGTGCCCGGTGCCGGAAGTGATCCCGGGAGCTTCCGCCGGCGGCGCGGGGGCTGCTGGGAGCAGCATGGAGACCCACGAGCTGTTCCGGCGCTTGGGTGCCGGGGCTCGCTTTGACGTGCGGCGCTTCGGGCTGGACGCGCGGCGCTTCGGGGTGCGGGGACACCGAGGGGAGGGCTCGGGGAGCGGCCCCTGCGCGGTTCAGCCTCCGGAGCCCCGTCCCCCCCCCGGCCGCGGCGCTGAGGAGCGGGGCCTGGCCATGGCGTGACACGCTGTTCCCTGTTCTCCCGCAGGTGGTTAAAGGGAACCGCGGCAGCGTCTCCCTGGAGAGCCTCGACTTCTTCGGGAACAAGGAGGGAGCCCCTCAGGGATCTGCCGAGAAGGGCTGGGGGCTCGCGGGGGCTGGAGAGGAGGTGAAGCAGCAGAAAGATGGAAAAGCAGGGGAGAACGATGGAAAGAGGAAAAGAACGGCAGAAAGCAGTGAAAGGAAAAGAAAAAAGAAAAAGACACGAGGTATTTGTTACACACATGCGTGTATCCCTGCAGAATCATGAAATAATTCCAGAATGGTTTGGTTTGGAAGGGACCTTAAAGCCCATCCAGTTCTGAGTTCTTGGTTGGCCTAGATCAGAGCTGATCTCGTAGCTGGGCCAAGATTCAGTGCTGAGAGCTGGGGATGTGGCTGCTATCCTTCTGGAGTCTTCATTAGTTTTATTGAGAATGAGAGAAAAAAGGTTCTGAGATTTTTTTTGTCTCCAAATAATGCCTGTCTGTATTTTACTGAAGGAAATTCCAACTTGTTTGCAACTTCCAGGAGCAGTTTCAATGCCAGAGCTGTCAGAAAACAATGGAATAAAGTGGATGTCCTCTCTGGAAGCAAAATCTGAAGATGCAAAAGACAAAAAGCCTACTGCAGAGAAGCTTGAGCGCTTGAGGAGAGAAAAGGTGGGGCCAGGGAATTCTGAAGCAACAACAGGTTCCTGGTGGTCTGTGGGTGTTTGATCTAAAATTGAGGTTTATTTGTGGTGATTCCTCATTGGAGGAGGGTGACTGAGTGTGGCAGGAAGATCCAGATGAATTCATATGTGGTGAGTTTTATGGTGTAAAATTGAAAAGGAGTTTGTCTTTTGCCTTGCAGATAAATCGCTTCAGGAACCAGCACAGGATCAATGTTCAGGGAACAGATCTCCCTGACCCCATTGCTACCTTTGATCAGCTTCAGGAGGAGTACAAAGTCCACCCTAAAATCATAGAGAATATTCAGGCTGCAGGCTTCCAAGTCCCAACACCGATCCAGATGCAGGCAATTCCTGTCATGCTGCATGTGAGTTCTCTGGGATTTCAGGGATTCTGGCAAAATTTGGGGCCTTGGGTGTGTTTGTGGCTGTTTTAAAGCTGGACTGCATCAGAATTGAAAGCTTGGCTTTCACAGTTTTCTTCATCTATACTTTTCCTAAGGTATTTTGGGTCAGTTTGCATTGTTGATATTTGTGGGAATGGAATCTTTCTTTTTTTTTTTTTTTTCCTACTGATCTCTAAGCCCTTGTTTTTTCTTGCAGGGTCGGGAGCTTCTGGCTTCAGCTCCTACTGGGTCTGGAAAAACACTGGCGTTTTGTATCCCTCTCTTAACACATCTGAAACAACCCAGGAACAAAGGATTCAGGGCTCTGATCATATCACCTACCCGAGAACTTGCCAGCCAGGTGTGTGTTGAGGGAATCTCACATTGATGGACTTCAGTGTTTTCACTCTGCATCAACAAAATTGCAGCTTAGTAAATATTTTTTTCCTTTACTGCCCTCACATATCAGAGAAAGCTGATTTAAATGTTTCTTTCAAGTCTTTTGACTTCTGTGAAGTAGGTACATATCTATTATCTGAGTGTAATCTAAATGATTAGATTAGAGGCTCAAGATTCTTTGATCATATTCTAAACTGCCCAATGCTCAGGTGCTCTTAAAACTTCCTTTCCTACTTGAGATTGCTATGAGAGGTTTATCTGTTTGTCCCAAACTTAGAGTTTCAAGGAATAACTGTAACAAAGCTGTGCTATTAAAATAAAATAAAAATTACATCTTTGGGCAGTTTTTATTCATGTGACAGAGGGAGCCACATATGTTAGTGATGTGAATAATGCCTGTTGGAGAGCTGCATTTTATTCAGAGAGCTTCTCTTAACACTGAAATCAGGTGATGTTTGAAGCTCTAACTTCAGGATTAGGTTGCTCAGAGAAGCTGTGGCTGCCCCTGGATCCTTGGAAGAAACCAAGGCCAGGCTGGGCATGGCTTGGAGCACCCTGGGATAGTGGGAAGGTGTCCCTGCCCATGGCAGGGGGGACTGGATGAGCTTTAATGTCCCTTCCAACCCAAACCATTCCATGACTCCATGATTGCCAGCAGTTTTCTGGTTAGAAAAGTTCATCAGCTCAGTTTGAAAATCCAATCTCTGCTGCCTTTCCAGACCCACCGGGAGCTGGTGAAGCTGGCAGAGGGCACAGGCTTCAGAATCCACATGATCCACAAGGCAGCTGAGGCAGCCAAGAAGTTTGGGCCCAAGTCTTCCAAGAAATTTGGTAACTGTTCTAAAGACTGAAGTGCTCCTAAAGAATTAAAAGTGTCTCTGACCTGTCTCTTTGGGCTGTGTGGTTTTAAAGAGATGGTTAAAAAGTGGAAGGGAAGAAATGGGAAGTGAGCCTGACATGGACTCTACTAAATTGTACCTCTGGCAGGTTGGGTTGGAACTGGTGTTTCTCAGGGCTCTGTTTGTTTGGTTTATTTTGTGTCTTTTATTTTGACATTTTTCTTCTTTTCTTGTAATAGATATTCTGGTTACTACTCCCAACAGACTCATTTATTTGCTGAAAGAAGATCCTCCAGCAATAGACTTGAGCAGGTATGAGAGTCTGTTTGAAATGTGCTTTGCCACTCACAAGTGGCACTTCTAAAAATCAAACCTCCCTGTTCCTAGCGTGGAGTGGCTGGTGGTGGATGAGTCAGACAAACTGTTTGAGGATGGGAAGTCAGGATTCAGGGACCAGCTGGCTTCCATCTTCCTGGCATGCACCTCCCACCTGGTCAGGAGGGCCCTGTTCAGCGCTACCTTTGCCCATGATGTGGAGGAATGGTGTAAACTCAACCTGGACAACATTGTGCTGGTGTCTGTTGGAGCAAGGTAGGTGTTTTCTGGATTTTTTATTTCCTGGGAAATTGTTTTCTTTGCATCATCAGCCTGCTTGGTTTTGTTTGTGTTGTTAGTCAGCCCTGCAGGTTGTTTGCTTCCAGAGAAGATTGTCTAGGCACGTGGATCTTTCTCTTGTATTGGATAAAGTGTTCTTTTCCTTTGCCAATTACTTTATCATCAAATAAAAATCAAACTTAGGAGCGTGCACTGGTGAAATAGATATTGTTGTGCAGTATTTCTCATCCACCAGGTAATACTTTTATGAGGGTTTTATATATTACATATATTGAAATACATAAGTTTTTGTTAATGTATATAAAAACACTGAACTGTTTTTGTTGGATTTCTGGTTTCAGAAACTCTGCAGCAGAGACAGTAGAGCAAGAGCTGCTGTTTGTTGGATCTGAGACAGGAAAACTAACAGCAGTGAGAGACCTTGTTAAAAAGGTATTTTGGAGAGACTGAGCATGGTCTTCTTCCTGTTCCTGAGCTATGTTCTGTCAGAGACCCCCAGTTTCCCAGGTCAAACACTTCTCTGTGACACATGTTAAATCATTGCCCAAATCTGCTGTGTCTCAGTTTCTGCAAGGAAAAGGACTTTGGAACCTGAGATAAACTTACTCTTTTGCAGGGTTTTTCTCCTCCAGTCCTTGTTTTTGTACAGTCTATTGAGAGGGCTAAAGAGCTTTTCCATGAGCTTATTTATGAAGGCATCAATGTGGATGTCATCCATGCAGACAAGACACAGCAACAGGTAGGAGGATTTTATTTCTTTTCAAGAAATGCTTTAGAAAGACAGGTAAAAGCAAGAGTCTTGGAATGTAACTGCAGGTAACTGTGGCAGCAAATTCCTGCAGATTTTTATTCAGAGGTTTAGTTTTATTCCTTAACATCATGACAACTTTAAGGAAACAAGTTCACCTCCTTTCTCAAATCGCTATTTGGACTATTTCCAAATAATTTTTCTGCTCTTTTCCTAGAGAGACAAAGTAGTGCAGAGTTTCAGAGCTGGGAAGATCTGGGTGCTCATCTGCTCAGCACTACTGGCTCGAGGGATTGACTTCAAAGGTGTGAACATGGTCATCAATTATGATTTGCCAACGAGTGCAGTGGAATACATCCACAGGATAGGTGAGGCATGGCTCACAAATCACCTCCTTTCTTCCATTTCCCATTTCTTTAATGTAGATTAAAGCTCTCGTTTTTGTCAGTGCTCTGTGAACCTTATTTAGATGTTTCAGACATAGCTGTGCTTTCATTCACTGGGAACAATGTTTGTGGATTGGCTGCTTGGTATATCCTTAGTCTGTGAACATGCATCAGGAGGCTGGGGCTGTGAGGAGGCATAAATGGAGATGCCTAAAGTAAAATCTCTACTCTGCAAAATGTGTGCTTGGCAGGTCGTACTGGAAGAGCAGGACACAGAGGAAAGGCAGTCACTTTCTTTACAGAAGATGATAAACCTTTATTACGGAGGTAATATGTCTTTATTAATAACGTCTTTATTGCTTAAAAAAAAAAAATCATCACAAAACAAAAGACCAAGAACAAACCAGCCAGCTTATTTGGTTTGCTGTTTTCCACAAAAAAATATTTATCACTTCTTCAAGCACTGGAGTTGATCTCTTCCCTCCTCTCCTTTCCAGTATTGCCAACGTTATCCAGCGAGCTGGCTGTCCTGTGCCAGA